ATTGAGCGGATGGTAGAAACCGGAGTCTCAGGTCGAGGAACAGCCGCCGCGCTTGCAGCTCTGGCCGTAGGTGCAGGTTGGTTAGCGGCTCCCGATGCAGGCCGGATGACGACTCTCGGGTAGGATGGGCAGGGGGCGCCGGTTGATGGAACACTAGTGGAGGAGCTCTTGTCCTTCGTGTTCTCCCTATTAACAAAGAAAAATGTTCGTATAAAGATAGAATTGAACCATAAGGCGATTAGAACAGGACGATTTACCAGTGAGAGGTTTATGCCCATATTTCTCGTGGAAGGACGCCCACTCACGAATGCCCCTTGTATGGGGAAGAACTGCGCCCACCCACTCACGGATATCGTCAACTGGCGGTGGAGGTAATCTCTCGGCTACAAAAGTGAAAACAAGTCAGCAAAATCACCTAAAGGACGATCGGCAACCGCCTCGAAAGAAATCGCAAAATAAACAGAGGAAAACTTACGAGCGAAGTTACACGTCTCAGGGAACCCTACCGGATCCGTCATAAGGTGCCCTGTCTGAACATAAAAATAGCTTTCCCAGAAGCGACGATTAGCCTTATCGTCCATCTTCACCACTAAGCTCTTGGTTCCTCGATGGCGCATATGGATCATCGTGCTCCGAAGAAATTGAGGGGCAAAAATATAAAGCATGTGACCCAAAGTAATCCCTCGACCGGCAAGCTCTACATACTTGATGAGCATGAGGAAGAGTTTGTACGCGTACGGTGAGAGCTGAGCCGGGCGCACCTCGTAGAAGCGGCAGAAGTCTATCACTAGAGAGGGGAGAGGAAGCGTATATTCTACAGCAAAAGGATACGCGTAAAATGCGCAGTACCCCGGGCAAGCGGCAGAAGTCTATCTCTAGAGAGGGGAGAGGAAGCGTATATTCTACAGCAAAAGGATACGCGTAAATACGCAGTACCCCGGGCGATTCAAATGTACGATGTCCGGCCCCATCGCCGGTATCATGTCGATATGATTTGGGATCCCCCACTTAGCCTTGAGCACCCTAATCGCCGCTTCATCCATGGTGGAAGAAACAGGATCCGGTTCATCTCCGGCAAGGGTATTAAAATCAGTCCATAATTTCCCCGGACGGGGCAATATCTCAGCCACAGTCGGAAACCCCTCGACTTTCGTCACCTCCGTTCCCCCTCCATGAAGAGGTATATCATTTCCTGGAAGCGGAGCTTCAACGAATCTGTCAGTCTGGGAAGAGGTACCAGCCATTTATCAAGCTCGATCAGAATAAACAAAAGTGATGAAGAAATGGAGAGGGTGGTCACATCAAATTCTGACGAAAGCAGAAATATGAAATATGGATGGTGGAAGTCTGTGAAATTCCTTCAGGTTCGAAAAGCGTAACAATCGAATGGTGGGTTCCCCCATATATAGGAACATAAATACCATGAGCGGGAAACCCGAGAATTGCCATAAAGTTGAAAGGGCACGAGAAATGAGGCGGTGCCTAGGGAACGTGCGTCATAATGACCCATAACAGGCATCAATGGTATCCCGACTCGACGTAACGATCCATCTCCGAACGGATGTAACGGTTCGGTAAGTTCTTTTAAGCATCACATTGCCACCTCGCCATAAGAACCCCGTCATCGCATAATGATCAGATTTCTCTAAATTCTTGCACATAGGGTCCGCCCGTTGAGCTCGCCCAAAAGACGACCCCAACGAGCGTAGGGACTAACCATATGGGACGAAATCTGACCACCAAATGGTTATCATGAAATGTGACGGTAAGAGGCCGACCCTGTGATGGTCGTGCCCACGAGACGTAATGACGACGAGCATTACGGTCCCTACCGGAGTCAAGCCGCTAGAAAGCTTATATCGCAGAATAAGCGTAATCTCTTGAGCAAGTAATGAAGGATTCAGTCATGAGATCGCACGCCGGTCAAAGACCATTGGATAAAGGGAAAAATTATTAGTATATATAGAGAGGAGGAGACCATTATAAAGGGGGATCTGGCTACTACAGAGGGGACCATGACTACAGAACCAAATGGATCTCTCAGCTATCAACATCTTTCTTTCTTCTCCTTCCATGCTCTTACGATAATAGTATAATCTCGTTATAAATGTAAGCTTATCATTTCTACTTGATATGCAATAATCATCTGAAGAAATATTAAATCTATTTATTCTTCTCCAACTTGTCTATCCAATATATCTACATCTAGAGTTAATTATGTTTGGTTAAGATTTACCCTCTCCTACCTACTAATTGATTTACTCAAAGAATTTAACGATTTTTTGGCTAAACAAGGTCATCCTTAAAGATGGTCAACTTATGACAAGAAATCAGTGGGTTTGGCCCATTTTTCTCCAAAAGGATGTAAAACAGAAAACTGCACCAATAGCATGCTTCTCTATATAATAGGCTGTTATCTAATTCACACAATAAGCATATTGGGAAACTTCAAAATTTTAAGTTCAAACAGTCACAGGTTACCAAGTGGATATTCACATAAATCATGCAAAAAAACACTATACTTTCTAAAAATATAAACATTTAGGCTTGCTAAAACTTAGTCGAGTCTTAAGACAAGTCTACTGATATAAGAGAACAAGAATCAGACTAATACATTCGTTTGACTAATCAAAGCATAGAGATAGAATCCATTTGGAGCTTTCAAGTTCAATTATATAGTTCATGACCAATATTCCATTGATACATGGATAGTTAACTAAAGATCCATTCCCTAAGGTTGATCCATCTTGAAAGAGACAATTTGTTCCTATAGACATGCTCTCTATTTTCTTGAAGGTCCAACAGGTTGCATCAAAATTATATTCATGCTTCATAGATGACTTAAGTACTACACTGCTAGAAAATAATATGCTTAAACTCACATGGCTGGACCTTCCTAAATAGACTCTGATTAACCATTTATATCACAAAAATCCCAACAATTTCTTCATACATAACAAGCAGTTCTTAGAGTCATGAATCTGGTAAAGATTTAGGTAGATCCAAGATAATTATGCTGTAGTTACTCTAATCATACTTTGTAAGGAAGAAATAATCATACTCAATATAGAACTAGGTGCAGTTATCACATGAAATTGCATGATGCATAAATCTGTGGCAACAATGGGTCAAAATCTGCCCCAAAAGTATTTGGCATGATGGGGAATTAAAGAAGATGACGCGGTCGAGGTCGACTAGTAAACAGTAAGACTCGTAGCCGGACATTGAACAATGGTCGAGGTCGAGCATCAAGGACAGAGCACTAACTGCTAGTTTTGTAATAAGATATTAAAGAGAATATTCCATTGAATATTCTTTTTATTTGTACTATTAGGGTTGACTGGTGGTATGTTCCATATAAATAGAAAACGAGATAAGGGAAAAGGCATGTAATATGGATTTGATAAGAACACTTTTTGAGAAGAAGACTCTCTCTCTCTAGAAAAGATGAAAACATTCCCTTTCTAATAAGATTCTTCCTTCTATTATTCCATACTTTTCCATCAGATCCGAGAATAGTTCTAATATTCTAGGATTTGTCTGTCACTCATCACTGTCAAAAAGACGAATCATCCACCTCATTCAATATTGGATAATCTTTCTCCTTATTTACATTAATTCCATTTATTGTCATTTATTGAATGATATTCTCTTATTATTACTGAAACTTTTTGGAATAATAAATGAATACATCATTTAATCCCCTACCAACATTATCTTGCAATATTTGTGCTAACTAGTTATAAATCTAGAGATATTATCATTAACTTGGTTTAACCCCTTGTTACGTGAAATTAATTAGGTTAACCAAAGATTTATACTTTTTTGGTCAAACAATTTGGTGTCGTCTGTTGGGATTTCCTAATTAAATTTTTAGTTTCTTCTAGATCTATAACTATCATGAGTTGCTAAAAAAAACACAGAAAAGAACCCCTTTTTCCTTGTGCACATAGATCTGACATGACAGGTAATGGAGAACAAAGAATGAGGGTAGTGCCGACCTCACCACCAACCTTTTAAAACCATCAATGAGGTTTCTCAGATAGAAGGCGAAGACATAACGCCTAATGCCTCTCCCTGGCAAGGTGGGTCGCCTCACCCTCACGGCAATATTGCAACGTCCCACGGTAAAGGAGCTTCCACGTCCACGACGGAAGAGGTGCCACCAGCAGTGTAAAATTACTCGAGGCATGGCTGACAAACACGCTGACTAGCATCCTCGACAAGCCCGCCCATAAGGCAGCTAGAGAAAATGCAAAGACTTGCATTGCACCAACAATAGCCGAGCATCACGGCCCTCTCCCTCCAGTAACAGGTATCACTCACAATGTTAATAATGCAGGTGAAAACACCCTCACAACCATTATGAGAAGATGGATGAAATGGAAAATGAAAACGAAATGCTTTGGGACCAAATGAGAGAGCACCAAGAAAGAGTCGACAAAATACCAGGTTCCCCAAAACTCTTGCCGAAAAGAAATGCTGGTCGGTTCGTTGAACAACCCTACAGCGATGAAACTGCCTCCCATGCCATACCCAAGACCTTCAAGATGCCGCCTTATCTGAAAATATACGACGGTATGACCGACCCCGAAGATCATGTGATGCACTTTGCACTGCTGTAAAGGGCAATGATCTCGCCAAAGAACAAGTATCCATCTTGTTGAAAAAGTTCGAGACCCTCACTAGAGGAGAATTAACTTGGTATTCACAACTGCTCGCGTGCTCCATCGAAACATTTGAAGAGATGTTCGACAAGTTTGTAATGGCCCATGTTTGGGCAAAAAGGCGGAGGCAAGAGTGAACGATATATTTTCCATCAAACAATCGCCCGGAGAGGAATTTAGGGACTTTCCAATGTTTTAAAAGGCGGGGGCATGAGGCGAGGCATTTTACCTAACACGGGGCGAGGCGTAAGTCCCATGGATCTTTAATTTAGAATATATATATTTTAAAATACGAGAGAGGTTAACTTTCTAGTAGTTTAACAGTAAAGAATATTTGGTGCAAACAAAAGAATTTGGTCAGAGATACATTGGTATCATTGTTAAGAGCAAAAATGGCACTCATCTTCCACAAAAAGCAGAAATGCACAAAAACTATATCATCTCTCAAGTCTCAACAATAGCTTTGTTACTTCTAAAGAAAGGAAAAAAATAATTTTAACACTTTGGTTTTAGTATTTGCATATCGCTCCTTCTGGTGAGGCAAATCAATCTTTCTATAAGATTTATTGACTAAATAGGATTCATCTTTTATACAAGAGTCCATATTAGGTTGAAGATTCTGTAAAATATAGAAATAAACATACGCATTAGTTAAAAGGGAAAAAGATTAAGCTTGACAAAAGAGTAAACACTTATCATTCTTCTCTGTTTTAATCATTAGGTAGATTACCATAGTTCCTTTGTCCTTTCCTTAACAGTTGGTCATTATTTTTCAAGAAGAAAGCCAGAAACTATAAGTGCATGTTGATAATCGCACAATAAACATACAAAATGCAGAAATTTTTGAAATATGGTAACAGCAAGAAACAAAAACCAAAAGTAGCAAAAGACACCTGTTATAATTTTCGGAGTTAGAGTGATTAGTGAAGTAAAAAGCTCCAGGAGTTGAGGAGAAAGCTCAAGGTTCTATGGAGCATGACTGTGGAGTGTGGACGATTCTTCACCGCCGAACAAGGTTAGGGCTTTTTATTAATGGGGTGAGGACAGATTTGGGGTAAAACGAAAGAGGGTTTAAAAAATATTAGGGCAATTGTCAAAGTTATCCTTCAATTGGTTAAGTTCCATCAGGCGTGGGTCTTGGTTCTAAGGCGAGTCTTGCGCCTAAGCGTGCGCCTCATTTCTTGGGGCGTGCGCCCAAAGGATCTGCGCCTCTCATTAACGCCTAGATGCGTTTTATGTGCGCCCCGCCCCGATTCGCGCCCCGAGACTCGCCCCATCAACGCCCCTAAAAACACTGAGACTTCCTCGCTCGTTATAACCGAGTTAGGATGACCTTACCAAATGTATCAGAAGGCATGGTTGTAGCAGCTTTCCAAAATGGGCTGAACAGGAATGGCTCGGGGCGACTAGAAAATTATTAAGTCGGCTTATGAAATATCGTCCAACTACTTGGGATGAAATACACAACGCCTACTGTGCCGAGGTTCGTGCTGACGAAGACGACCTGAATGGGCCAGCCTATTCATTGACCTCGGTACAGACCGAATCCAGGAAGGATCGAAGAAACAATGCCAGGAGGGATCTTGCAGGTCCACGACCCAACAGAGAAAGGCATCAGCCGTATATCAGCAGCGTCATCATGCCCCCCTCCCGCCACGAAGAGGGCCCATCTAGGCGAAGGACAGGGACTCACCGGAAAGAGGGAGGTGTGCCCCCTTTATTATACCAACTTATGCCGGAAAGAGAGAGGTGTGCCCCCTCCTCGGGCGAAAATGGTCCTCCCTCGGTCGCTCAGCAACTCTTTGAGGTGTCCTTGGTGAAGCATGTTTACGACCTCCTGCCTTAGAGCGATGCAATACTCAGTTTTGTGACCTCGCTCTTGGTGGAACTCGGAGAGGGCGTTTGACTTTCTGGTGCTTGGGTCTGACCTCATCTTTTGCGGCCACTTCACTTTTGGTCCAAACTTCTCCAACGCATAGACTATTTCTGAAGGGGACACACAAAAATTGTGAGCGGATAATAAAGGGGGCACACCTCTCTCTTTCCGGTGAGTCCCTGTCCTTCGCCTAGATGGGCCCTCTTCGTGGCGGGAGGTGGGCATGATGACGCTGCTGATATACTGCTGATGCCTTTCTCTGTTGGGTCGTGGAGCCGCAAGATCCCTCCTGGAATTGTTTCTTCGATCCTTCCTGGATTCGGTCTGTACCGAGGTCAACGAATAGGCTGGCCCATTCAGGTCGTCTTCGTCAGCACGGACCTCGGCACAGTAGGCATTGTGTATTTCATCCTAAGTAGTTGGACGATATTTCATAAGCCGACTTAATAATTTTCTAGTCGCCCCGAGCCATTCCTGTTCAGCCCATTTTGGAAAGCTGCTACAACCGTTCTGATACATTTGGTAAGGTCATCCTTACTTGGTTAAAACGAGCGAGGAAGTCCCAGTGTTTTTAGGGGTTGACTCGCACCATTCGAATGATCATCGGGGCCAGCAACAACGCATCGATCAACAACATAAAATTCACCACAGCCCACAAACTCAAACGGTCAATCACTCATGAATGGTATGACAAACTCGAAGAACGTATCTTCTTGGATAAGTCGGATACCCATGGTTTGGTTTTCCCACACTATTATGCCCTTGTTATCACTTTACAAATATTAGATACAGATGTAAGACGCATTATGGTGGACGATGGGAGTGGCACGTGCATTATCCACCCTCGAGTACTTGCACAAATGAAACTCGAGGATAAGATAGTGCCACGCTGCATCACATTAACAGGTTTTGACAATGCAGTTGAACGAAGGTCTGGAGAAATCACACTCCCCATCCTGGCCGGTGGTGTCACTCTAGAAACCACATTCCACATCATGGACCAGGATACGGTGTACAACGCCATAATAGGACGAACCTAGATACGCGCCATGAGGGCCATCCCCTCCAGCTTATACCAAGTTATCAAATTTCCAACCCTGTGGGGAATATTCAGCATACGAGGAGAACAATGCACATTTCGAGAATGCTACCGCATCGCCCTGGATTGTATGACTACCCAACAAATGAAGGGAAAAGCAAAAGAGGCATAGTAATTAACAGGGTCGAGGTCGAGCTGTGATAAAAAAGATGACATCATCATAGATCCCGAAATAGTGGAGGCCATGGGATCAACCATAGAAGACCTCGACCCTGTCCAACTTGATGATAACAACCACAACAAGAAATCCTACATCGATTGCAAGCTTCAAGAACTAGGTAAATTCCGTAAATTCTTAACTGCTAACGCAATTTGCTTTTTTCCATGCATACATGCCAAGTATCCTAAAGGAGATCGCCACACACAAGTTGAACGTCGACCCGTTCCACCCCCTGGTAAGGCAGGTTAGGCGGAAGTTCAATTGTGTAATAGACGATGCAGTCCGTGAGGAGGTCAAAAAATTACTAGAAAATGGTTCCATCAAGGAATCAAAATACCCCCAATGGGTCGCCAATTTGGTTATGGTGAAAAAGAAAAATGGAAAGTGGCGGATGTGCGTGTACTTTACAGATTTAAACAAAGCATGCCCCACCGATTCATTCCCGCTACCTCATATTGACCAACTCATTGACGCAACGGCCGGGAATGAACTGCTGAGATTCTTAGATGCCTCCTTGGGTTACAATTAGATCCCTATGGAGAGGAGGACCAGGAGAAGACTACCTTCATCACCCACCACAGAACGTTCTACTACAGAGTTATGCCTTTCGGACTGAAAAATGCGGGGGCAACATACCAAAGGTTGGTGACCAAAATGTTCAAAGATCAACTCGGCAAGACCATGGAAGTCTATATAGACGATATGTTGGTCAAGTCCAAAAGGAAAGAAGATACCATCAACCAAGAATCAGTAACTGGCTGTAAACTAGACTTACAAAATACGACTTACATTTAAACTTAAATTGTAGCTAAAAATAAAAGTGAAAGAAGTTTACCTTGTTTTGAGCAACAAACCGGGGAGAAGAAACTGATTATCAAGGGTTCTCTTCCTCGAACTCAGCCAGAATCAGAAAGAAAACAGGGGAAGTAGGAGTCAGCGAGAAGTTAAATAAAAAAACCTAACTTTTGTGTACTAAATTGATGGGTATTCAGTTGGTTTCAATTTGTGGTTGGTAGAGCGATAACTCCTGCTATTAATAGCCGAAGATTTAGGGTCTTTTGGAATTTGAAACTTAGAGTTTTTGAGCTTGAATGAAGAATCAACGAATCTCGTGAAGACAGAAGGTAAAAGAGGGGAAAAGATTTATGTTCGATGATTGCTGACGAAGAAGAGAGTCGTCGGGGAAAAATCGGCCGGTTTTTCCCATGGACTTGAAGGACGAACCAGTGGTTTGAAGCTATGACCGTTGTGTTTTGCTAAGGTCATAGATTCTTGAAATCTTCAGCATTGAAGGCGGATCTTTGAGTTTTGACTCGATCTAGGACTGCATGTGAGCTAGCAAAGATTCTTTGATGGGGATATGGTTGTGGCAAAGAGGGGTAGAGTTATGGCAGTCAAGGTAGCACCTAGTGGTGCTAGCTCTTTGAAGGTGGAAGGGGTGAGAGGGAATGAGAGGAAGGGGAAAAGAATTAGCTAGATTCATAGATTGGGACATACGCATAAACCATCATTTATCTCACCGCATGCACATACCAATGAAATGCCACCCTTATGTCGCGGCATGTGCAACTTGCCACCCTTATACTCCAAGTGAAATGGCACCCTTATTTCCGCACAACAATAATCAACCCACAGTGCAATAATTATCACAACAATGCAAGATAAAATTTAGCATCAAGAGGCATATCCTCGTAACTCATCAATAAAGCGCACCAGGACATAATGACAATAAAAATGTGGGTAAATCATGACTATGGCTAATTTAGTTATAGAAACCAAGTTCAAGTAGTCATACAAAAGATCACATATGTATCACAGAATGTACAAGTCCCAACTAAAGCAAAACATAAGAACAAGTAGGTATGTGTGTTCATAACATACATGTTTATGCCTCTAAGGCAAGTATAGCATAAGTGTCAAGATTTGCTCAACATGTTCAAAATACGGTACGTATAGCGGCAACATATCTTCAGCATGGTTTATTATGCTCTCGTAGACAATTAATGGAATAATATATAGAGTCAAGTATGATACGCAACCAAGCAAAGCATAGAGTGAGCTAGAATCTACCCCCGAGCACGAATACCCATGGCACATGTATATACACTCCTTATATATACATCACCCCCACATTTAGCAAACAATATAAATTGGTAGCAAAATTTACCTCAACCAAAGCTAGGCAAGACACTTACCTCAAACAAGCTAAAATAATACTCTAAAAATGCTTTCTTGCGTGAGTCGACCTCCGAATAGCTCGAATCTAGCCAAAAGAACTCAATAACTTCAAATAGTGCCATAGGAATCAAACCGAAACGATAAAGGTCGAATCTTTAATCAAATACTCAAAGTCAACCAAAAAGTCAATCTGATCTCGCACCTTGGAACCCAACAAAACTCACAAATCCTGACAACTCATTCGAATACGAGTCCAACCATACAAGTTTCATCCAAATCCGACTCCGAATTGATATTCAAATCTCAAATTTCTACTTTAGAAAAGTTTTGCTAAAAACCTCATTCCTCATTTAGATTCATCAATCAAATGCTAAAATCAAGGATGGAATGATGAATAATAATCAAATCTGAGTCAAGAATACTTACCCCAATCCACGTGGTGAAAATTGCCTCAATCCGAGCTCCCAATCTCAAAATATGATAAAATGAGTTTGAAGTCCGAAATAGAATCTTATACAGCTGCTTCAGGAGTACCCTTCGCGATCATGGGACCAGCTTCGCTATCGCGAAGCATAAGGAGGAACATTGGAAAAAATACCCTACATGTTTGAGACACCAACCACGCGAACGCAATGAACCCAGCTGTCAACCACTTCACGAACTCGTCCCTGAAATTGCAACCGCGAAGGAAAAACCACCAGCTCCCACTCTCATCTGCGAATGCGACCAAGCTTCGCGAACGCGATTCACAAACCACCAAACCTCTGCCAACGCGACCTCCTAATCGCGAACGTGAAGAGGTAAAACACCCAGCTCAAACGTACACCCCATGATCGCGACAACACCTTCACGAT